ATGTGTTATAAATGACATAGATTGCCATCGTAAGGTATTCATAGGTGCTGTTCAGTATTGAAAGTAAACGTAGGTCTGCTTTGCTGTCTGTCAGACTGTCTGAGAGCAAAACAAATCTCTGCAATAGCCTTGGTGGTTATAAAGTAGAAAATGTGACAGTAAAATAAACCTGATTAACAAATTTTTAAAGAAATCCAAAAATGACAGTTAAACAGCATGACGCAGCATTGTAAACACAAGTGGCCAGTATCAAAATGTCCTGTTTAGAAAAGCACAAATAGCAAATTAATGATACAGTTGATTATTGTACTCATTCACCTGTGGGTTGCTGAGGCACTAGCAATCTAGCTGAATATTGAAGATTTGTTATTGTTTATACCATATTGTAAAATCTATTGATTATCCATCTGCAGCACGGTTTATTCTTTCAACTACTATTTATGCTCTTGGTAATAGGATACTGCAGCCAGGGAGAGAGACATTTTAGATCACATACTTTATGGTTTTCATCTAGGAAAAGTAGTAATAAAAAAAAAGCGTCATAAAAACCTTATTAATGTAGTTCTATTGGTATTATTGAAACATCATTATTTTGCTAATATTACCTAACAATTTTCATCTAAAGTATTGGCAAAATTTGTGTAAAGGACTGAATTTACAGTTACAAAAATAGCTATTTTCATATAAACCTATAATATTCTTCACACTTTATTATTTAAAACCATCTAAACCAAGAATCAATTTGATTTAAATTTTTATCTTTGCTATTCTGGACTGCTGCATCCTAGGAGATGTCTTTCTTTTAGGCTGTGTTTAATATAACCTGCAAGGAAAACATATGGATTATTAATTGTGTTATAACGTTATTTGTAAAGTGTTTCCCTGTATACAAAAGACAGTTGTCATAATTTGTGAGAAGTTTGTCTCTTGAAAAATTCTAATGCGAAAATTCATTTGGGATAAATGTAAGTTGTCCTAATGTAACTGTTTTACTTTCTTATTACTCTAATTTCTTATTTTTTTAAACCTTAAAAATAATAATTGACTGATTGATTGATTTATTAATTACAGAAACCTTTGAAATGCTTATCAGACTGGCTGAGAATTACACAAGCACACTTTTCTGCACTGCATATAGAAACATGGCTGCTGAGGCTACTGTGCGTGTTCAGGAGTTTTTCACTGATGTTGGACTCTTCGTATTTGGCACAGACATTAGCACAGAGGAATTTGTGAATAGATTTTTTGACACCCTGTTTCCAGTAGTCTACAGCCACGTGATTAACCCTGGTCTGACTGACATTTCACTGGAATATGCAGAGTGTCTACGAACGGCGAGAAGAGACATCAGGCCCTTTGGCAGCGTTCCCAAAAAGGCCATAAGTCAAATGGGAAGATCCCTCTTATCCAGCCGGACTTTCTTGCAGGCTCTGAATTTGGGGATTGAAGTGATCAATACAACGGATCACCTGCATTTCTCCAAAGACTGCAGCAGAGCTTTACTGAGAATGCAGTACTGCCCCCACTGCCAGGGACTGATGATGAGTAAGCCCTGCATGGGCTACTGCCTCAACATCATCCGGGGCTGCTTAGCCAACACAGCAGAAATTGATCTTCATTGGCGGGGATATATTCAGTCCCTGGAGGAGCTCTCAAGCGCCATGAGTGGAACACACGACGTTGAGCACGTGCTTCTCAACTTTCATTCGCTTGTTAATGATGCTCTGGTACAGGCTCATACCCATGGGCCAGAGTTATCTGAGCAGGTAAGAAGGTAGTTTATACACACTCAGTGACAGTAGGAAAAGTGGGACTGATAATTCTTACTTGTTTGGCCACTTTTATGGTGAAGAACATGTTTGTTTCTTGAGTTCAGCTTCATTTGACAGTGCAATTTTTAGGAGCACAAAAAATGTTTTTCATGAACATAAGAAAATTTTCTAATCACTTCATTGTTATCCTGTGTGCACATAATGATAAATTTAAGCAATCCTTACTTTAGGTACTATTGACCTGCCTTAGAGAACCTATAACTTTCCATATAATATTTCCATAATTATTTAGGTTTCAGAGGAAGTAGCACAGTTCATTTGTAACATAAACTGAGTCCTTCCTTACATATATACTTGAGAGAAAAAGGCAAGTTATATGAGAGCTCTGTTACCTGTGAATGCATGAAGTGAAGAACTTTAAGATACTGTTAGGGAAAGTGTGCACTACTTAGCTACACATTAGGAAAAGCCCTAGTATATCTGTTAATTTACGAAGGTTAAGTATCAAAATTCAAATTTTTCATGTATTATTTTTAATCTGTATTCTGTTTTGTAATTGTATTTTTCTCTGTATTCTTACATTCAGACTTCACTGACAGTGATATATTCTATGTTTAATGCTGGATTGGATAACTTGGTTTGGGGAGATGCCTTTAGTTTTACGGTACACACAGGTCTGAAGAGAGTGTCTGGGTGTTCCTGTGGTGTGGCATCAGCTGAGGTGCAGTAATACTTCTAGGACTGCCATAGCCTCAGTACCTGAGGTTGAAGCAGTTTCTTCTGCTAAGCAGCTGATAGGACCTCTGACAGTAAACAACTTGACCTAATATAATAAATAAAGAATTTTTCATTTCTTAGTAAGACTCAGAGTTTATTAAAACTGATTCTTCATCCTGCTTAGTCACTGAGTAACCGGAAAATTGCTCACTCTGTGAATTTCCTATTTTATCTGCTTTATACCAGCCAGCTACATGAACCATAATATCCTGCTGCTGAACTTCCTTGAGGAAAACTATCTCTTTTTTTGGAAAAGGTTTTTCACTAGCAGTTTGGCTCAAAAGTGGCTCACTGATGTCTGTCTAATTCAAGTGATTTCAGAGCTACAGTTGCCTTTCACGGATATACCCTGTTGCCCCTTTGATTTTTGTGGGGTCTTTTTTGCCTACAATTTTCAGGAAAAAGCTAGAACAAGCAAGTAAAGGCACAAGGGAAGGACTTGTGTTTCCTACTTCATCCTGGGTAATTTAATTTAAAAAGTTTTAGACTTGGATTTTCAGCAGTGAACTGTCATGGGCCCAGACTTAAAAATCTCTCAGCACACTCATGTTTTAAAAAAATGAAAGTTTTTACACTCCTAAGTAGTGTAAATCACTGTATTTCGTTTTTAGTAAAGAAATTAAATAGGTGAAGAGCCTTGCACCTAGCGTTTTGGCTTAATGAACATTTTATATTGATCCAAAATGAAATACTTTTCTTATTCCTGAAAACTCTATGCCTCTCTTCTCCCCTTTATTCATACAATGTAAAGAATGCTAAAATTTCCTATGTAATGATATTTGTTACTAATGTGTTTGTTTGAAGATTATGTGTTTACTTCTGTTAAGATCATCTGATATAAAATCACTTCCAAAAGTTCAACCCTAAATTCTTCATTTTTCATTCATGCTGCATCAGACCTAGACATCTCTTTCAGTTCATTTCTCTGTTATAATTGACCAATCCTTTCTCTCTTTGATCTTTAATTTGATAAAATAAAATTATGATGCAATTATCTCTTGAAAAATAGTGATCTAGTCAGTCAGTATATTTTATATTTGATATTTTACCATTTATTAGGTATCAAGACTTAATTCTGACATGTGGTAAATACAGTTTTTAGCTTTAGGATGCAGAGGACATGAATTCCATTGAAATTGGCGCATTAATATTTATTTATTTTATCTTTGGAGTGATTCATGAACTGTTTCAAGTTTTGATAAGCAATTAATGCACCAGTGATTCCAACAGACAGGGAAAAGCTGATTATGAGCAAGCAAATAATGGCTTGCTTAAGCACACAGCAGTCTTTGCAGTTTTAAAAGTGAATTTCATTGTATTTTGTGAGTTTTAAAGAAGTAAACAGAGAAAAAAAACCTTGAAATGTTTGGAAATATCATATATACATATGCCAGCGTTAATATGAGAAGCTGCAGAGTATCCTACTTAGTGATACATGTAGTTGTACAGTATTTTCTGTTCATGTGTATGTTTGTGTAAATTACCACATGTAAAGGAATTTTTCTAACACATTGCATGAATATTTAAATCTAATGTATATTCATATTTTAAACTCTGTGTGATGCGGAAAGACCACTAATGGCAATATAACATGACTTCCTTTTCTGGCAGTTTGCAACTTTTGTTACCTTTTCTGCTTGGGTCAGCAGAGCAATGCCATGCCGTCTGTAGATGGAATTTGTCTTTCCCTTCGTTCTTCCTGTTTCAAATTCACCTTTCATTTCTACCTCCCACAACCCTGCTGACTGACAGATAAGTGCAGCACTTGTTCATCATCTCGGTACCTGGGCATCATTTTATGTTATTCTGCAGAATCTAGTGGAGAAGTGTGGGTTGTGCAACTATTCACATATTTATGTATTTTCACACATTCACGTTGATATATATTTAGTGAAACTTCTGTTCCTGAAGTCTGTATATCTCCATTTACCTACTGGTATTGCTCAGTGCGTTGTGGACCCTGTGCTTTTTAGCTGGTAGGAGTTGGAACAAACTCCTTTTTCTCGCAAACATCTGTGTGTATGTTCCTGCAGATATAATGCAATACAGGTTTAAGAGAGCTGCATCATATAAAGCAAGAACAGGAAGCATTATTAAGATAGCCTGAAAAGGGTGGTATGTAATTCTTAAGCATTAGTTAACAGCTAAAGGTGCCTGTTGTTACTGAGCACCTTACAGGTTCATCCTGTTCTTCTGTGCTGGTCTCTGAGCTTCTGTTTAGCCAAGGAGATCCCCATGGACGGCGCTGTGAATGGCCAGTCTTCGCGAACGAAGAACCGGGGAAGGTCTTTCCACCTTCCAGCCTGCGCATTGGATTTTTTAGGTGAGACACAGTGTGCGCGGAACTGAGCCCACCCTTTAATCCTGAGGTTCATCTGCCGGGGCCAAGCACGCTTGGACGGTGGCAGCGAGGTCCTCAGGACGTAGATGGATTGCC